TTTGTCCACAGGGGCCACCAAAATCAACAATCAAGCAATTCAAGTTTTTGGTGCTGCTTTAATAAATCATCTTTTTGGGAATATCTATTTAGTGTGTGGGCGCCTATTTATCTTGGCATTGTCACATTTTTGCCTGTGCACCTGATATCATGTCTGGATGCGTATATACTACAGAGAAGCACAGAGTTTTCAAACCTAGAAATTAGTTTAAGATTGTTTCATGAAGCAAAAATGAACTTTCTCATTAGTTTGATAGAATCCTTCAAAGCCGATGCTTCGCAACTCTAAAGGCAGCAAAATGACATTTGGGGATGGTGACACAAGAAATAAAGAAAAATTATAGTAGATTAAGTAGTCCATTTTGGTATTAAGGTCCTTAGGCAGTTATGAAAGAAGAGCACAAATCTCCTGCAGCAAACTTTTTAACAGATCCAGGACCTGTATATGCAGGCAGATGGTTTGGATGCTCAGGGCTACGTCCTTTTGTAAGGGCATGTATAATTAAATAAATCAAAATGCTAACATTATAAAGTGCATATATTTCTACTCGTCCACACCATATCTTAATTAAATTTCCACCGTGTTCCCTGCTCAGGTGAGAAAGAAGACACTGGAGAACGCCCGAATCATGCTGGAGATTGATAATGCCAAGCTGGCGGCCGATGACTTCAGGGTCAAGTGAGTGTCACACAGAGGTTCCTTTCTTTTACGTGCCTGTGAGTGTTCACATGGGAGTGCCAGACTGCAAAGCAATGTGAATAAATGACCTTTATGTCAGGCTGCGAAATAAGAGCCCCATTCCCACGGCGCTCAGGCACCCACAGGAGACGAACAACTGTGCCATCAGTGAGTGAAGGATGTGATAGATGTGCAGTCTGCTGTTGGCAGAGGTGAAGCTGAAGTTAAGATGGTGGAGGCAGGATACAAACACTGCTGGTGTTTTTCACAACGTGTTGATGGTATGTTCTGTGGCCTCATGTGAAGGAGTAATACATCAATTGGCAGTGATGTATGGTATTGGCAGCAAAGTGCATGTGTACTTTTCATGCATATCTCATGGTATTTTTCACATGTGTGCATCCATTCTGGGATCTCATAAGTGATTTCATGCATCCTGTGCTTGTTTGCATGTGTTGCACTACCTCTCATGTGTTAACATCAATGGTGGAACGTAAGAAGAGATTGCAGGAAGAAGTGACATGTATCCTTGTTTGTTTTGTAGTATTACTATACTTTATTATAGTAAAGCAGTATTTTTCTGCATTAAAATATAAAATAACATTAACTAACATTAAAATGGTCAGGTTTCTTCTGAACATCTCAAAACCTTCATCAGCTGATTGAAGGCAAAATTATTTTACCAATGAATGCTATCAGATGTGGTTGGAAGTACAAGCTAGTAAGAACCTTGAGTGAAGATCATTTTGCCAAACTACACTTACTAGGGTCAAGAATGAATCTCCAGACACAACATTAATATACCCTGATTTTTTTTTATACATCCGATTGAGCAGATGATTTTACTTCTGGCAACCATCTTTGTTTGGATTAAGATGAATCACAACTTGGAAAACTGGTTAAAAAAAAATCTTGTTGCAGCAGATGAAAAACTTTTTGATCCCCATGTATACACAACTTTTGAAATGTTTTTGTAAGATCTGCAGGGATTTATCTTTCAAAAACCAGATGCTGAACTGTAACCTGAATGTAATGATAATAGCCTACATGGGAGGCAAAAACTGCGACTGTGTTGCACATGTCTGCTGATGGCCTCCTTTCCTCTTATTCTAATCCTCCACTGGGTTTTCTCTGCAGATGGGAGGCGGAGGCCACCTTGTGCCAGTCAGTAGAGAGAGACTGTCAGGCTCTGAGGAGGGCAAAGTCTGACCATGACCAGATTATCGCAACTCTGCGAGGAGACCTGGACAGCCTGAAGGAGGAGCTCTACTTCCTCAAGAAGAATCACGACGAGGTGAGATCACTGTCGAGGTGAAGGTCACGTCGGACATGATCAATGAGTGTTTACACATCAAGATAATCACTTTACAAGTTGTCAAGTATACTCTTGTTTAAATGTAGGATGTGTTTGAAGCACAGCAGGTTCTCGGAGCTGCACGAAAGCCAGTTTCCTGCACCTTGATATGATTAATATGATCCAAAAACCACAGAGTTCTAATACATTCCAGTTTTCTGAGACACGTTGACATGAACCAACGCTGTAGAAATGTGTGTTTGCTCTCCCAGTCAAGGTTTAACAATATGCAATATCTGTAACATGATCATGTTAAGCGTTTAGACGCACCCTTTTTCTTTGTAGCCACGGTGCTTCAAGATATCAAGACAACACCTATGACAGGAGTATCTGAGCCCATCCAGCCACAGGGATTGTGTGCGTTTAGACAGCAAGGTGTGGTGTCCAGGATGTGGGCTGAGCCTTGCAGGTGCTGCTCTTCTCCCCATAGACCTGACTGAAAACAGTTTTTTTATTTGAATATTATCTTGCATATTGCTGAGGTGATGAGGAACAATTAAAGTACACTGAAATATGGCAGATGATTGTAAATAATTGCTAACTCTAAGTGTAAATTGTTGTCATATATTAAAATTGTCGGATGAGTTACATTTGTGTGACAAAGTTTTAACCTAATTTAACCCTGGTCTGCACTACAAACCAGTTAAGCCATTTAATTATCCAAAAGAAAATTAAGCACAGTGAGTAAAGAAACACTGGAATTTGGTTAACATTGTATTCTTATATTGTTGTCCATTTGTTGTCCTGCTGTACATTTTACTCACGAAAAAAAAAAACAGGATTTTGAATGCAGGCCTTTTACTTTTCTCAAAGTACTTTTATAGTGTGGTATTACTACTTTTACTTAAGTAAAGGATCTGAATAGCTCTTCCACCACTGGATAGTAGATGTCAAATTAGATATTAACAGACACTGTGCCTTAGAGTTGTAGCTTCCCATCCAAACAGCTCTGTGATAACCAGGTTTTAAAAATACTTGTTGTGTAAAACTAAAAAACTGCTTGGTCTTTCCCTCTTTAAATCACTGCAGGAGATGAACTCTCTGAAATCACGTCTGGCCAACGAGCAGGTGAATGTGGAGGTGGATGCGGCTCAGGGTCCTGATCTGGGGGCCATCATGGCTGAGTTGAGGGTCCAGTATGAGAGCATCACTCGCAAGAACAAGGAGGAGGCTGAGGTCTGGTACCTCAAGAAGGTCAGTCACAGCGTGAATCCTATCTTTCTGCTATTTATTCTTTTAAGCTTTTAATTTTACTGTATATTATTATACTATTTTAATATGTGTGTCTATAGTTAGAAGCTGTGCAGTCGGAGGTTAAAGAAAGCAACGAGGCTCTTCGTTGTGCCCAAAATGAGCTCAGTGAGAGACGACGTTTCCTGCAGGCTCTGGAGGTCGAACTCGACAGTCTTCGAAAGCAGGTACAGTACTGCATAAACACACTCATGTTACGTCTATACCTCTGTAAGTAATCACTTATTTCTCCATGAATAATAATATGTCCTACATATCCAGACTCTCTAACCTCTATTTACTCCAGAGACACTGGTCTGTAGTTGCTCTGACTTGCAGAGATGAATTAAGTTTTATGCTGACTACCATTCCTCTACTTCTTTGAAGCTCAACCCCGCCCTCACCTCTTCTCTTCTGTACATTACACACACATGTCAGACCTATCTATAGATAACAGCTGCTTTCCCCTTGTCAACAAAGAGCTACTAGTGGTACAAAGTACACAGTAATTTCATTCTGCTCCAATAATCAATCAGGGTGACAAGACATGGAATCAAACAAGCAAATGTTTTGTCTGTGTTTCCACTACATAGACACAGACACAGATCAAACATTGTATATAAGGGTGTAGAGTGGTGGCAAATATAGCTCTTGGATGTTTGCCTAATAGTGAGCACACAGTATTGAATGTAGAGATATTATCGTGCTGACAGTCTCTAGTATCTATGGTTGATTTGTGAGTGGTTGTGAATGGACGAGCTCAACGGGTAAACACATAGTACATACATAGCAATATTGGGTGGTAAAAACTCTGCAGGGTACCTTAAAGCCAAAAGCTTTAACCTACATCAGTGTTTTCCTTTATTGTTTACTACACCATTTAAAGGTGTGTTCTCTAGCATTTAAAGCTGAACTTTAAAATATTCTTATAATAACAATGTAACAAATTATTACGTGTAATGTCAGAGGATTAGCTCAGAGTGTCAAACCCACAGAAAATTATCACCAAACTCTGCAGTTCCCCTCAGCTATGTGAAGCAGTTTTGTGTCTTTCAGCTTGCTGTTTTGGTTTACTTTACTGTTTTGGTTCGGTGTTGTCCTCAGCATCGTTTCATGATAAACCTACTGTACACTACCTGTCAAGCACCAAACAGCAGACAAAGTTAGCGACTAGCTAGTAATGTAGTGTAGCATTTACCAGTGAAAGCACCAAGCAATTTCAGGGGTTGCTGGAGACCAAAAACAGAGCTAAAAGTAAAGTGAATATTGGACTGAAATTCATCAGGTCACCAGAAACACAACTCCAAATGAATGCTAATGTTATTCTATACCTTCTGGACATGTTAATAGGCAACTATTTGCTCACAGATTTGCCATAATAACTTTATAAGGTGATTTAATGTCAGGGTTTACAGCTTGTCTTGCTGCTCCCATACGTTAAAATATGATTGTAAAATGGATTAGGATTACTCTGTAATTAATTTAAAGGAAAATGTTTCCGGTCTTTGTGCTAAGCTAAGATAGCCATTTCCTGGCTGTAGCGTCATATTTAGTGTACAAGGTCAATCTCCTCATATAATTATCGGTAAGAAAGCAAATAAGCGTGAATAAAGCATCACCTACAAAGAGAAATAGTATTTTTCAACAAAGAAAGTAGATTTAATATGACTACTTGGGGCTTAAGACAAACTTTTCATGCAGTGTTTTATAATCTTATGAATGTCATGGATGTGATTTATTGAAACAGTAGGATGCACTTTAATACATATGAAGGGCTAAAATGCTGTTTGGCAGTGACATTTTAAATTTTTTAAATATGTCTTACATTATTTTGTAATGTAGGACAAGTTTTTATCTACTGTCACTGATCATTACCTGTGTTCTGTTAACAGGTAGCTGTGTTGGAAGGAAACCTGGGAGAAACGGGGCATAAGTACTCTATGGAGATGGACCGTCTTCAGGCCACACTGACCCAGCTGGAGGATGAGCTGTCTCAGCTGCGTTTGGACATGCAACGCAACAAGACCGACTACGAACAGCTGCTGCGCATCAAACAGAACCTGGAGATGGAAATCGCCACCTATCGGAGGCTGCTTGAAGGAGAGGAAATGTGAGTTAGGGCTGGGAATCATTACACAAAGTTACATACAGTTATATAACAACATCTTTTCAAGCAAGAATTTCTGTTTAAATTTGTTTGGGGTTTTTGAGTATTTCCAAAATACACAGAAGAAAACTCAAAGTTAGTAGAACCTATGGTTTGTATTGCATTTTTCTACACAGGACTTGTACATATAGTTAAATTAGTTTGACATTTTGGAATAGTCACTTTTTTGCAGGGAGTTAAATGAGAAGATTGATACCACCGTTCGGTCCACTCAATATAAAGGCTACAGCTAGACGCCGGCTAGCTTAGCCACTCCCAGCTCCTCTAAAGCTCAGTAATTAACTCATTATATCTTGTTTGACATTAAATCTAGCTTTAACTTTATATTTAGTATACAATCTTATCATCTAACTCTCAGCAAGAAAGAGAATAAGTGTATTTCCCAAAATTATTTCTTTAAAGTGTCCAACTTGCTTCAGATACTGAGTGAACATGGTCTCTGCTTGGTACTTTGCTCTCCTGGATTAAGTTTTACGTTGTTTTGTCCTACAGGGTTAAAGAAACACCTCCACCTCCTAAAAGTAAGTTCAGATTATTTTATTTACTGAATGCCATTAAGGATTAGGGATCTATTTTCCTCAAGGAGTCTTTTGTATAAAGTCCTTTCTAAACTTTTTTCACATGGTCCCGTGAGTGTTTTTTTCAACACTTGTTGAACCACTTGTTAGTTGGTCAGCACTGACTTGTTCAGAAAATACAAAAGGGATGGAAAAGAGAAGAGATTGAATGTCAGTGAGTCAACAACTTTTACTGAGTCATCATCGTTTGTTTGGTGCTGTTTTTGTTAACTTCACTTTTATCAGATGCTGTGTGGGTATCAAGTGACAACATCAGAGGCCAAATTTTCATGTAGACAAAAGAGAAAGTGTGCAGAATGTAGGAAAGGATCGGATCCTCCTGTATATACTCCTGCAACAAGTGCTATTTTTGTACATCTACTGGCCTGCTATTGTCTTCTCTGTCTGCTAATATTGGTCTCGTAAAGCTGCTCTTGGATTTTTCTGACCACATGCTGCACGAGCAAATACAGGAGCATCGTATCCTTTCTTAAGTTTTGTAGACTTTACCCACATGAATTCTGGTCTTGGGTGTGGTGTCTCAATACCCACACAGGATCTGATAAGTCCACAAAAAAAGCACCAAACAAATGACCCAGTGAAAGTTGGACATTCAATCTCTTCTCTTTTTTACCCCTTTTGTATTTTTTGGAATAAAATTGGAACACAAAAGCATGCTGCATGCAGTTTACTGATATTAGGTTACATATGAGGGTATTGATGACCAATGTTGTTAAAATATTACATTTCGGTGCAGCTTCATAACCTCAATATGTCATTGCTTTTTTATTAGTTGAACATCAATGTTACTTATCAGAGCAGCAGACAAGAAAGATCAATGTGAGTCAGTATTTGTTGTACCTAACTCTGGATTAACTCTGTTTTACAGAAGACCCTGAAGTCAGGACCAGGAAGATTGTTAAAGTCGTGACCCAGACCATGATCAATGGCAAGGTGGTAGATGAGTCCAGTGAGGTGGAGCAGATAGAGGAGCGCAAAAAATGAGCCAAAATGTGTGTAGAGGCGGAGCAGTAATGTGTCTAAAACCCAAAGTGCCTGCTGGCTGTGGATCAAATCTCACCTTCTTGTTTTGTCTGCTTTAGTTTGTATCATTTTCTAATGCTTTAAGCTTGCCAAAAAACACACTAAAAATTTATTGAAAATTCATGTTCTTTACAGCAACATGATATATTTCTGTACATATGATCACTAAAATGGAAACAGAGACTTATAATGGTGATATAAGGATCCTCTGAAATGAATTGTCTGTTTAAAAATACTCCAAAGAAATACATGGAGATTGTGCTGCAACTTAATGAAACATATCACACTGTGGAATGAATAACAACCTTATTTGATCCAACAGAAAATCATAACTCAATATTCACTTATTAACTTTTTTCAGGGCTTTTAACCACATTCCCCAGAAGATGGAGTTTGTCATCAAAATGTAAATAGCTAATAGCTATAGATTTTTTTGTCAGACGACCAAGAATGAGCTTTCACACTTCTAAACCTCGATTCAATTTAAAGGAAAAGTAATTTTTAGGCAAATGCAGTTATTTTCTTTCTTGCCAAGAGTTAGATGATAAGATTGATACCACCCTTTTGTCTTTATGGTAAATATGAATGTACAGCTAATAGTTGATTAGCTTAGCTTAGCATAAAGACCGGAAACAAGGGTAAACTGTTAGTCTGACTTTGTCTAACAGTAACAAAATCTGCCTACCAGCACCTCCCCAAATGTAAAACGATTTCCTTGAATATTGATTGAAGACATTTTTGGGAGATTTCCGACAATGTAATGAATTGAAGTCTTAACTTTATGCAAATGCTTTCTAGAAAATGTCTTGATTCTGCAACAGTTTATATTGTATGTGCATGATAGTTTCACTGTTAAGTAGTAATGGGAGTATTGTAATGTGCTGTAGTTTTATGATATAAACAAATCTACCAAAGCATATGTACAGTGTCAATAAACGACAGTGTTTAAAAATATGTGTCCCTGTCATTTTGAAGAGATTTTAGCTCACACAGAAACTTTGACTGATACTCTTGGAACATAATAGGAGAGTGAAACAAAGAAACATATGATTCTGCACCAAGAGGGCAGAAACTACAAAACCTACATACAGTAGTCTCAGATAACAGGCTTTTTTGTGTATGTGAGTGTTGTGTTTCAATGTCTCTCTCTTTCTGAGTTTGTGTGCACATGCACAATACAGCTTAGAGGAATTTAAGTAATGTTGGAACATAAATGGTGAAATGCATTTCAGATGTTCACAAGTGTAAAGAGGTTAAATAAAACAACCTAAAAGGGCCAGAACAGAATGCTACAGTACTTTGAATAAGCTATTGTGCTGTCATTCTGGGTCACTGTGATAAAGGACAAAGTCAGATGTCATTACAACATGCAAACAATGAGCCCACAGACATAAGAAACAAAAGTTTAAAATCATGTCAAAGGTTAATGTTTTCAACTTGAGACTGGCAGAAGATTGTTAGGTGTCAGCGTCAAGGATTCTGGTGATTTTTATGATGAAACTCTCTTTTCTCATGAAATTTGATCATCCATTTAAATAATTCAGAGTACAGTGTTGTCATTTAGGGATTTGAACCACTTTCAGTTGAATGAATGTACTTCATTACTTTCCATCTGTTCAGTTCCTTTTGACTGCAACAACTACAGTATTTTCAAGGTCACTTTCTGTGTTTACTTCTGGTTGAGCTAAAAGACAAGATGATTTCGGTTAAATTTTATTTTCTCTTGTCTTGGCTGCTGGAATTATTTATTTACTTGCCTCAACGTCTACATTTGGTGCCATATGAAGCAGCAAGACTTCTGATAAACACTGGAAACAGAAACTCTCCCCAGTCCCGTCTGAATTACTTCGGATTCAGTTGATTACTCTTTAAAACCTTTCATAAGGGGGATGTAAACAATCACTTTAAACACTGGAATAAATGCACAAAAATACTGCACTATCCGAGGTTGTGATACTTTACATACGGACAGGATGCAGAAGATTTATTTTTATTTTCATATGATATGATATGATATGATATGATATGATGACATATAGATCTGGATACTGTATGAATATTTCTAGATGCAGGTCCAGTGTAATTGTAATCCAAGTTTGTTTTTATGCAGTTGTTTGGATGTTTTTAGGGTGGGGGTTTTCCATGTTATGGATGAATAAATTGAGCCTTGAACCTCTATGGTTTGGCATATATTTTCTGATATTTTAACTGCTTACTTTGCACGGTCCAGACTAAAGATAAAGCGGGATCATGCTTTTACTGTTTTTGCTCAAACACTGGAACCAACTCGCTTTGAGTATTAGATCAGCTTTTACTCTTTGCTACATAATAAAAAGCTTTTAAAACACTGACTGTGCAACTTACACTAATAGTGTTTTATTTTCCTTTTCTTTTTGTATTTCTGTCCCTGAAAATCTTGCAACTGTTTTGGAAAGTGCTGTAGAAATAACTTACTTACTTGGAAAAAGAGAGAAAATTCAGCTTACGTTAGTGTTAATTAAGTGCAGTTTCATGTCAGTGTGAATATTACACATTTGTCGCTCCAGAGTGAAAAGTTTAGAATAGAGTAAAGAAGTAAGTCACGGATTGTTTCTAAGTCTTAAACTGCAGCCTCGTTGACACACCAGCATCGACAGTTAATTATATTCTTTTTGTCACCTTGATGAGAAACTTGTAAAATACAATATAGACGTTTCTCACAGGCCGTTAAGAGTAAGAGTTACTGACCGTCACTGAAGAGTGTCCCATGACGTCACACACAAGATTACAAGCACACATATGGACAACGGTTGTTTTGTGAAACTCAAAAAGAAGAACTGTGACACACTGTAACTGTCACCACCCAGTTTTTCAGACAGCAAAACCACTTTAACATCAGTTTCTGTCAAATCTGATGCAGAATTACCTCCCATGAACCTCCCATTACTGTCTGATTTCATTAGCCTACATTATCCCATGTTAAGGATTTGGTAACTTGGACAGAGACCTGCACATGGTGTCTGCACAGATCCAACAACATCCTCTATATCAACTCTGTACTGTCTTTTGATGAATAGCGCCTCCCTGTGGTAAAAAGGACACAGTGCCCCTGCAGGAAAAAAAACATTAAGAAGCAGTCAACGTTTTTCAGGCCAAGGACCCCTTAATTGAGACAGGGCAGAGACCCCCTTCTACATATATTCTATAAACTTGTGTTGTATATTAAACTGGGCCTACAGTAACATGTGGGGTGACCTATAGTGCCACGTATAAACATTACCCAGTTATTGTGCATACAAGAATTAAATAATGAATTATATTCATGTTTTAATTATAAATATGCATGTGGAATTCACCTTTATTAATAATACAGTATGTTGGATTCGGATTCAGGTTAATGTATTTCAGACATATTAAAGATGTTGAAAAATTAAACCTGCAAAGTAACTAATGCTGTCAAATAAATGTAGGCTAATGGATTAAAAAGTACAATATTGGCTGACAAAATGTTGTATAGTAGTATAGTGTAGTAGCATAGGTAGAATAAAATGGAAATACTCCATTTACAGTACAAATAGTCTATCTCAAATGTGTTACAGTAGTTAAATCCCACTGTATGTCACTAAACCTTTGCTGAATGATAGTATTTACTTGATATACATAGCCTGCAGTATACATACACTTTAAATCAATTATGGCATCAGGTTTTAAGTGTTTTAAACTCAAGCTGAAATGCTGCCTGAGGAAATAAAACGTCCCAAAGCGCATGCGTGAGGCGAACATCTGAATCATCTTCAATAAACGATCTTTGGCTCGAGCTCAGCTCCTGATCGATACCTCAGCTCCTGATCGATACTTCACCTGTCAAAAACACCCAAATAACACTTACTCATTATGTAAGTGTGATGCTAACCAACACAGTCTGATTATTCGGGTTTTGTTAGTTTAATTTGTGGCGTTGAAGGTTTGTATTAGCAGGATATTTAATAGCTGAACAAAGCTGTAACTTTTCAGCTTTAGCTTACTTGTTAGAGGTAGCTAACCCAGCTAGCTAACATAAACATGTAAGATTTATTTTGTAATAGACAGTGGGGGGAAGTTACAAAGTACATTTACTCGAGTACTGTATTTAAACACTGTTTTGAGTGGATATTTCTATTTTCTGCTTCTGGGGAATTATGTGCTCTTGACTACTAATATTATAATTTAATACCTTTACTTGACAGTTACTTCAGAGTAATAATACACAATATGATAAACTATTATTTATTATTATCAGTTAAGATGAGACTTTATTGATCCTGGGGAGACATTCACAAGCTATCAATAATTACAATCCAGTAATATATTATAATTTTGGGCCATTCTACATAATGAATACTTTTACTTTAGGTACTATTTTGACTGTAATACCTTTGTACACTGTGGTATTGCTACTTTTTACATTACTATATTAAAAGATCTGTGTACTTTTTCCTACTTTCTTGTGATGGACACGTTTATTTTAGGTTTGTAGTTAAAGTAACCTGTTTAGGGTGACATTAGACATTCAATTAGGCTGTTTTAGTGTGTTGTTAAAACAGACCACAGTAATCATCAAATTGTTTTCCTAAAAATATGCGTATTTATGTTTGTATCACTCTTTTTACAATGTTTAAAGGTCTGAAACCGACAGCAGTGTTCCTGCTCAGATTTTCTCTGCTAACAGATATAAAGCTCTTGACTATGTTTTTGAGGTGAGTTTGTGGCTTGTTCATTTTACCTCTGAATATTATCATTACACTTTAATGCTTTGTTGTCCTGCCTCCCTCTTTCACGTCTCTTTTTGTCTTTATTGCAGACCACCACCAGTCTGAAAGTAAGGATGAGCTTGCTGGCACTGCCAACACCGTACTTCACTGGTACCAGTGACCTGTACCCCCACAATGGCAAGCTGCCTGAGGCCACCTACAGGGCACCGTGGATCAGAGGTATACGACTGAGCTCATGTAACCACTATGTTGAGTGACATGGGCCCTGGTTTTGGCATGTTTTATGTGTCATGATGACGGTTTGGATTTAATTTAATACAATATATAGTCTATTGTGTAACATCATTTTGGAGAGTAAGTAAATTAACTTTAAACTCCCTTTTAAATATATACAGTATGGATTTAGGTTTTAATTCAATGATATAACTTAAGTTTGTTTTGTCTGAATGTTAAAGGGAATATTACAGTTAGGTAACACAACTCCTTCACCTTCTTTAACTTCTAAGTAAGTAAAAGTCATCATTTCAACTCTACTAATGAGTCTTCCTGCTCAGATTTGTACATATGAAAGCATTAACATTATCCCTAATGTTGGCAACCCCAAACACCAACCATGGCCCTAAGCATAACATTTAGTGTTTAATTAATGGGACTTCCTAAAAAGTGTCCCAAACTTTCTCAACATCTTCCCATCAGGTTTTAGTTTCTCCAAAGCTTGGCTACAGAGTTTCTTTTCATTTCTTCTACAAAATTAGCCATCAGCCTTTGACTCACATTGCCTTGCAAGGCAGTCTATGTTAAAGTTTCATGTGACATTCTTTGTCGGCTCTTCTTCTTGCCTGTTGCTCCTGCCAACACCAGTTTCACCTAGGACGTAGCTGTCTGAGTGTATTGTAACTACATCTTACTGATATGATATTAGTGAATATTTTTGTCTGACATTCCAGTATCAGAGTAAACAGATAGCTAAGGCTGAAATGGTTTTTTCACACTTTACTAAATTTCTTCTGGTCCATTTAAACAAACTGTATAACTGAAACAGAGGTGGTACATACTAGTAAATACATGTATTTCTTATGTTTTTGCAGCGTTACTTTTATACATTTTTACCCTGATAACTTACAGGCGTAGGTAAATCTGAAGTTGAACTGCATGTTTGTTACAGCCACAATGCAATTAAAATAGTGTCTTTATTTAGATATAGAGGCCACAACAGAGGGTGTCACACTACCCTAAATGAGACCAACACAAGGGGTTTGTTTCTATATTTACTTCTTTTGCACTCGTTATAGGAAAGGTGATCTCCACCTGCAAACTATTTGTCAGTGGTTCTGTGCTTGATGATCTGGGAGAAAAAAAGAAACCGGTTTATTCACCAGAAAGGTAATTTTATGATTTCATTATGTTTTATTGTTTGAGTCATAATTTCAATATTTATTCAAGTGTTACATTTTTCAAAAATAAATCTGTTATATTCCAGATTTAATATGACTCTGAGTGAGGTGAAAGGGGATGTGGAAGTGATACCAAGCTCTAATCCTGACTCACTGAAGGATCTAGACCAGGATGAGTATTTTTGCATTTTAAAAGAGTCACAGATCAATAAGCCATGTCAGGAATCCTTTTATAAGTTGACAACTAACCAGATGAAACCTGGAAATAAGAACAAAGGTAACTCAAACTTCCCATCAGCCGTATCTGTGTCAGTCAGCATTCCCTGTTTTTGACTGTGACACTTAGAGAACCACTTACAAATGAATGATTCCTTCTGTCAAAGATCTCCTCCTGCCAGAAGAGCTCGTGGTTGTTGACTACCTGCCACAATTTAAGAGACATTTACCCACGCTGAAAGCCAAACTGTCCAGGCTGAGGACCCTTCCTGTGGCCGACCCTCTGCTGAGCTCAACAGGAGATACCTCTGAGGATGCCATGTTCAGGTGTGCATGTCCCTCCTGAAGTGCACTTCATAATTATGTGATTCAAAGTGGTTGTTGCGTCCTAAAATTATTGACAAGTAAGTTACTTTACTGGCCCGTTCCTTTTTCTGATCTGTGTTATGTTAAAACCTGTTTCAGGCGCTGTGTGTCTTACGAAAAACCTCCTGATGTGGAAACCAGTGACATTCATACGTGTGCAAACATTCATGAGGAGTTTGGTAAAGAGTCACTAATGAAGGAAGAGGTAATTAAAAATGCTACATGCTAAATGATGTGCTTATGTATGAAATTACTTTAACATTGATCATTTTCTTCTCCGTAGTCATTGCTGTTGCCGGCTGTAGTGGACACGATGAGTTTGAGCCAAGATAACCGGACTGATTTTCCAAGCATTTGTGGTTGTATGAATGTTGCTCCTGAACAGCTGGATGAGCAACCTCCAGTCCTGGATGTGCTTCATAAAGGTGAAGACAAGATTATACCGTTTTTAGATCAAATAAAGATGCACAGTAGCACAGTAGTCCAATTTCTTCTAGCTTACTTTTCAGATGTACCAGTGTCAGTGGACATTTCCCAGTATGAAGTACTAGAGGAGGCCAGCAAGACGAATGGAGGCCTGATAGAGTCAGAGCTGTCAGGTAACAGTTACAGAGCAAACACAAAGAGTGACTTAGTTAGTTAGTTAATCATGTTTGGACAAAAATCTTCTCTATAGTCACTGATTTACCTAAATTTACCACTTTGTACCCACAATCCCCTCTAAGGACGTGTGATGCTTCTGACCGAAATGGAGCTGGATGTGACTTTGATGTCGACTCCCAAAACCAGTCAAACCCAAATCTGTCTGTCCACGTGTAAACTCCAGAAGGAAGAGTTGTCACTGCTCAGCAGACGGTGAGTGGTGATACCAGACCAAACTGTCAATACAGCCGTTATCCTGATGAGGTTTAGTTTATTTTCACAGTTACTGAACATAAGGATGAAGTTGTTCATATTAAGTTAATGAAGAAACTCACTGAAATTGCTTTGTTAGTTAAAAATAGCTTTGGTGGAAGTGAAAGGCGTTGTATTACTATTTTTATCAAACAAAATCACCACACCATATTTAAATGTCAGATTCTCCGTTTTAATGTTAATGTTCTGCCATGTGAAAAAGCTCTTGTAACATTAATGATTGTCATGTAGGTCTTTGGTGTCAGCAAGAGCTCAGAAGGAGATGGAGGTGGCCCTTTGGAAGGCAGAGAAGCATCCAACCTTTGTGGTGGGCTTTCTGTTAGCAGGTAATTACAGGGTTTCATTTTACAGTTTTGTAATTAAAGGCGCATTCCACCTATTCATCATGAGTGAGGGGTGTACAATACCAAAACTCCAAAGCTTATTTTACTCTTGTGAAGCACACAGTTTTAAACAAATACATACTTGAATGAACAAAGAAATAAGGTGCAATTTCTCTCCCTCTAAAAACTTAAAAAGCGCTCATAAAAGATCTCCTTATCTAAGCAAAGGTTGAGTATCAGTGTTTTTTAAGAGCAATCCTAGCCAAATCAGTCTGTTAACTGATTTCTATAACTTGGCTAAAGTATGTTTTGTTTGTAATAAACAAAAGATAGATATTCTATTATCTGTGTTGCTTAGTTTACTGTAGAGAATATCCAAAACCTCTAACCAGAAAGACTGGATTATTGGGCAGTCCCATAGACCAGTGGTTCTCAACCTTTTTGTTGTGAAAGACCCCCAAATTGATACACATCAGGCTGTATTTGATAAGCTTTAATCTACACTATGGTTATTTTGTGTCAACAAAAATATTTGTATGCACTTTCGGACCACATTTATTTTTACTGCAGCATAGCAGAATGATGTCTGAATTTACTGCAGCAGTATAGAACTTCTGAACGAGAAGTAGGACACAACACAGAGACATAAGATTAAAGTCATAGAGGTTTTGTAGTGTTAGGGTGTTGGTCTGTCTTGAAGGGCTGCAGTAAGTATTGCAAACCAACAGATGTCATTGTGCTTCCTGAGCTTAAAGCTTCAAAGCTTCATAAGGCTTCATCCACCCTTCACTACTTGCCATTGAAAACAGATGTACCATGTCTTCTGTGGCTCTGGGTGGAGCTTTTCCAAAAATCTCTAATTGGTCTTGGAGAGTCTTCTGCTTTACAAACAAGGGTCAGGAGTTTGAATGACATGGGCATTTACCAAGCAGGAAGGATCTAAAACATGTTTTTGGAGTTTTTGGATCTTGACGCAAGTCAACTCAAGATATTTCTGTTTCTGCTGCCTCTTTATTAATTACTATAGACATAGATACACACATGCATGTTTATTAGCTCATTGTTCAGGATAAGGCTTGCTAGTTTGCTTCAGCATTTTGTCAGTATTTGCTGGTGCATTATTTTATTTATTATTTTAGAACATCAGCAAACATTATTTTGAAGCACGTTTTTGCAAATGTTGACAAATACTGCATGAAATACTGTTAAGTATTTTTACACTACAAATATGTTCAAAGGATGTTCATAAAAATCTAATCTGCTGTTTTTTCTTGCAGAGCCTCAAATGTGTGAAACAGCTAGTAGCTTCCAGCCTATGTCTGAAGCCTTGAAAGTCATAAAGTTGGAGAAACAAAGCTTTGTTGGTGTTGGTGACAAACTTCAGTCTCACATGGGGACGGGAGCCCCGCAGGTGTCTTTGTGCAGCAACCGTGAGTTCACAGAGAGCATGAAGTCGGAGTTTCCTTCCACCAAGCAGGAAAAGATAGAAGACTTCAAAAATCTGTCACCTGAACATGTGGAGTGTGAGTGTGTTTCTTTTTCTTTGAATCAGTTTTGTCAGAGGACAGAAGTAAATGTGGTTTATTAGAGAGTTAATTGGCAATACATTAAGTAGAGCTGAAACAGTTTATAAATTAATTACTTATTTAATGGACAAAAGAATTCACTGACAAATTTAATAATCGGTAACTGGTCAGGTAATTTTGTAAGCAGACATGCCAGAAATATACAGGTTACAGCTTTTATTTTAGTATTTTTTCGTTATATAGGAGAGTAAACTGAGTATGTTTGGTCGGATAAAACAAACTTTAATATATAATCAGTATGGCTGTAGGCAATTGGATGCACTATTTTCTGACATTTTAGAGCCTCAACAATTAGTTGATTAATCAACAGCCCAAGTAGCTTATTGCTTTGTATGTTTTGCTTCAAACCAGTCTTACTGTTTTAGAGCATTACAATTTGAGTGTTGCAACAGATTTCTGACACACATTTGTGTTTTTTTCCTCATCCTTTCTGGTCTCAGTCACAGTCAGATCCATCCTGATGAATCCTACAAACAAAACTCAGTCACCTGACCTGAAGAAATCTGAAGCTATTGCTTTTCATGCTGAAGCTACTGAAGATGACGCTCTTCTTCAAAGAGAAACAGTTGCTGATGGGAACACCTTCCTGATGCACACTGTCAGCACAAACAATAAGGAAGTAAACCCTGCTGCTACCATTAAAGATGAATTTCCAGACAAGAGGAGGAAAGAAGTCGCAGCCACGTTTTCTGTTTGTAAGGACGACATCAACACAAGTAGAGACGAGTGTAAGACAGAGCAGAACGCCCACACTCCTGAGCAGGCTGCGTCCTCCAGACTGAATATTAAAGACAATCACAGCAGTCTGCTGTATACGAGACGTCCACCAGAGAAGGACCTGGACCCTCTGTCCACCTTCATTGTACTGAGATCTCAGCAGAGAGCTCCAGTTACGGCAACACATCAGAGCTCAGCCGGCACTCAGCCAGGTAGACTGTGAAATGACTTAATAAAGCTGTTCCTCTTATAAAGCCTGTAGATGATTTTCATCAGCTTATATAACAGATAATAATAATAAGATTTTTTTGGTATGCATGTCATATAAAATGATATTTTGATAACAGAATCACATATTAGTAAAATTGATCTTCAGCTTGAGCCTACAATGTTACTAAACAGAAATAGGCACTGACTATGTAGGATTTGATCGTTTGTTAACTTTGGTGCCGCCTGGTGGTCATATTAAGAAGAGGAATCATGAAAATGATTAATAACACACAGATTAAATGATTAATCAATTAAACTGTTAGTTGATTTATACAATGAACATTAATAAGCAGTATATAGTGATCAATTTATATTTAAGTAAAAATTTTTTTTCATGTTAATATTTTGTTTTTGGGTCTATAGTAAAACTGAATATGTTTGGGTTTAGGACTGGTTTGGGTTTCAGGAGCTTACTTACATTTGAAGCCCAAAGATAAATAGATAAATTGAGAAAATGTTCTGTAGATTAATCAATAATGTCAGTAATTACTCAAGATACTTCACTTCGATACCTAACTTACCTCATTGTACTCGTGGTCTAATGACTTGTTCATGTCACACACTGTAATGTCATCTCATCCTCTTTGTATCAGGGCCACAGGTGGACCAACAAACACCACCTGAGCTGCAGCCGACTCCAGAGCAGGTGCAAAGATCAGACAGGAGGCCAGCAAACATTAGTGGTAGTGTGTCAGGAAATGTTACCAGAGAGCAGAAAGAAGCTTTTCAGTCAACGGGCCAACTCATCATTCCTCCTTTCAGTCAGTCAATCCCCCAGGGAAGACAGGACAGCAGAGTAGTACAAGTCAGAGCTACTGGTACGACACTTTCACAACACCTTCAGTTCAAATATACCAAAAACATGTGACTTAAGTTGTTCTTGTTGGAGAAAATGTTTTTTTGTGTGCGTGCTGCCTCACAGACAGCCAGCAGCGTGCCTACTGTGAGCTGCTGGCCTTCGCTCGGCCTTGTTTGAGCTCTGTCCGACAGCTGGGGCTCAACTTCCCAGTGTGGGGAGACTTCAGCTGCCTGACCCCAGACCAAACACACTTCCTCCTCAAGCAGCAGGAGAAGGCACTCTGCAGGACACATGCACAGAGCACAGGGCTGGTCAAAGGTATAAAATGTAATTTTATAATGCAGAAACACATTTGTACAAGCTTATTTCTTATATTGTAGTACTGAGATATTAATTCAGTAAATCTATGTTTAATAAATGTGTAAAATCCCACTGATGTGTGGTATGCAGATCAGGAACGTCTTTTCAACCAGGCAGCTCTGATTCATGTGCTGGTGACATTCAAGGAGCTGCTTCTGAAGTGTGGCCTTGGTACTGCATTAGGTCAGTAAACTTTACTATTACTACTAACTATTAAATTAACTATTATTACTTAATACAAAAAACACCCTTAGTTATCACCTATTAAGAGTTTACCAGTCAAATCTCTTAAAACAGAGAAAAAGAAGAAAACTGTTTTGACAGAAAATGTGATTTTGGAAGATGGAAGACCCAATCACTAAAAGACCCTGAAAACCTACACCTACAGCCTTTTAACTTCAGCTTTGAAGGTTAATGTTCTGGTGATTGGTTTTCCAACCCCTGACTAACATATACCATATTGTGATATTTACTGCCGTGCCTTATTTACTAAAGAGTACCTGACCAAGGCATCTGAGGCGTGTGCAGAGCAGAGTCTAGGGCAGCTGGTGAAGAGGCTGCAGATCATCCTCTACCTCAGGGACAAGAACCAGGAGTCCAACCTCAAACTGCTGGAGCTGCAGCAGCTGCTGGCTGCATGGCTGCGCAGCAGGAAAGGACAAAACACAATGGAGAAAGTCAGTGTACACATTGAGAGAAAACTTGTTTTTTTGGTTTGTATAATTAATTGTGTCACATTTTGGGTTCTAAAATTTGGAAACTACAGTATGACAGCATAAAGTGCAGTATATTGTTCTACAAATGATTAATGATAATGATCATACTATCAAATGTTTCAGTGTTTATTTGTTAAATGTGCAATGATCCTGGTTGATTTTTCTTTCTGTAGATTCTTGTCATAATATCAGCTGAGTCTGATGACAGCAAATCTATAATCATAAACAGCTTGAGCCAAGTGGCTGGTGAGCATCCCTTGGTCTCTTTCAGCCATTTCATTATCAACAGCACTGCTAATTAACTAAACATAACTGTGGAAACAAGTGAAGTACAATCAGGTTAATTAACAAGTGACTTTTCATTTACAATTTTGGGACACAAACTCAACAATCACAAGCCAAAGCAAAAGTAATATTCCTTGTAACAATAATACAAACACATGATCGTGAATGTGTCATACAGTTTAAGTATTTTTATGTTGTTGTTGTCTCAGGTGCTTCTGTAACTGCAGTTTGGCCTGACAAGGACAAGATCAAATTGAATGGTGCCAGTGTGGTCAGCAGGTAAAAATATACAGTTGTTAATGTTTTTGTTTTTATCTTATAATTACACATATTTCAACATATTCCTCATAAATCACATCCAGATTTGTTGGTGGTTATTTCATAGCTTGACTTAAATAAAAATATATACAGATAAATACACATATATACATATATATAAAAAGCAAGCCCCTGGGGCTTTCAGTAGGCAGTATCCACACACTGTAGGAGTGCAAAAGTGCATTGGCGTACTGGAGTGAACGATAATTGTTTTGCTATTTTAAAGGAAATATTTCACGCTGCTATGTGCTATGTCGAACAATCTGTTGTTTTCACACACCCATCCTGTTCCACCAGCGTGTGCGGCAGTGTGTGTGTGGTGGTATGTGAGCAGCATATGGGCCCAGACTTCCCCTGGAACTGTTTCTCTTTGGTGGTGGAGTACGACCATCCAGGCCAGTCACCATGGGCCGCAGTCTGCAGAGAGAGGAGCATTGGTCACGTCACCCTTAACACGATCATCTCCGATACTGGTCAGCTGCCAACAAATAGATCCTATTCACACTATTTTACATTGATGTGTAATATCTTTTTTCTTTCTAAATGTTTTGTTTTTCCAAAAGACAAGGAAAATGCTTCGTGGGACCTGGAGGACAATGTGCCTTATGTTCTTGTTACCGAGGGGCTTCTCAACTGTCCACTGCTGCTCCAGACACTCGAGTCAGGGTACATTTTCACACTCATCTAGTCAAGTCTGATTAAATCATAGCCAGCTAGTAAAAAATCCAGGCAAACACCTGGATTTCAATTGCATTTCCTTATTTAGACAATCGCCATATGGGGTGATCACAAGCTTGCATCATGATCTATATTTAATATAATCTACTGGGAGAGCCTGCTCTAAATATGTTAACCCATTAAATAAAAGTACGAATGAAAGCAAGATTGTCATGTTATTGGACTTTTTTGTAGGGGAAACCATTTAAGATTTAACCAAAAATACTGATATAGAAAAACTGGGTTGTCTGATCTGTAGAGCTTCAGTGTATCATCCAGCTTTGATGTACAGTAAATGTTTAGATTGTCACTGAAAACATTTTTCTTTTCTTTTCAAAAAGCCATTCATTTTGATAGTAAACAAGTTAAATATTCATCATGCATAACTCCTTAAGGTTATATAGTTTTTTTCTTCGTTTCCTCTTGGCTGCATCTGCCTGGTTCTCAGTGGTTATTAAGGATGACACTGAGGAGCTGTTTTCAGTATTGTCATTCATTTTTCGACTAATCATTCAAGTCTTTAAAATACAGGAAAATGTCCATGTAATGTCTTCAGATGTCATGCTTTTAGAAAACTTTACTGAAGGGCGGGCCCAATTACCCCACAACAGTTTCTATAACAGTCAATGGAACAGTCCACTTATTTTCTGTCATCCACGCACACAACAGCTAAAGTCTACTTGGACAGGGGAGCCTGTCTGGAGGTCGCTATGGTGATTGATTGGTTCCTTAATGAGTGTCCTGCCAGAGCCTTTTGTAGACTTCCAGATAAAATATTTCTTCAGAAGACATGTTAAGAATAAATCTCTTTTTAAAAATGTGTTTCTACCATACCTGCCAATGATGAAAAGCTATCATTTAAATTCCATATGGTGAAAAGTGTCTGTTTGTGTGTTACACTACAGGTTTAATATAACTGTGTTAGAGAGGAGCCACTGTCCATCCTTGCAGATGCTCGGAGGCACCCATCACTACGCTGTGATCACAGTGGATGAAAGCATCGCTGTAATCATTCAGGTACCAGGCTTCAAAGGGAACACACACAAATCCACGTTAATGCAGAAACTCTTCAGTGTTTTTATCTCCCTCTACTGAGATTCTTGGGTATTGTATGGAATTACTAATAAATACTTAATTCATTTCTCCAACTTTCTGTGTGTGTGTGTGTGTGTCAGGAGGAGGATGAACTGTGTCAGGAGCGAGCCAGTGAGAGAGTAGTGATGAGGCTCACCGCTCTCTCTCTGCAGTACAATTGCTGTTGGCTCATCCTGCACTGCCCAGAGAGCCAGGGAGGAGGGTAGGTGTCCACACACACACATATTAATACAGTATAAACACACATTTAGTACACACAGACTCACAATTGTTGATTCTGTCTGTGTTACGGCAGTTTTTCCAGTGAAGCCTTCAGAAACTTGGTGTTGGTGTATTCGTCTCTTGTGCTGTTCGGCATGAAGTCAGAGGATCTAGATGTCAAGGTAGAACACAACACATAGATTTATTGACTGTTTTTTCAGCTATATGTCTTTGTTCCTGTGAAATTACCCCGTAAAAGGCAGAAAACACCACAAGTCAGACTCTGGTAAGTTCAATACACATCATTCTGTGTTTGTCAGGTGCTGATTGTGTCTGAGGTGATGGAAATAGCCAAATGGATCAGTCAGATCTGCTTCCACAGCCTGATGGCCACTGACAGGGACCCTCCCCACTACCTGGACAGAGACTGGCTGACCGTGATTCCCTCAGAGGTGATTTATCTATAGGAGGCTACATAGACTGGTCTAGTATTTGGTTGAGAAGGGGTTAACAACTTTATTCATATTATTACAAAAATACCTCCAACTTAACAACACTGTAGATTGCTTTTATTTTTACCCCCAATCAAACTGTATGTGTTAACATTTTGTCTTCTTTCCCTCCAGAATGAAAAGTGTCTGTTGCAGTTCCCATGCATCAACCCTCTGGTTAGTCAGCTAATGCTGAGGAGAGCACCATCCCTCCAGTGGCTCATGAGGGCCTCCCTGTCTCAGCTGAAGGAGCTGCTCCCTGAGGTGCCACATAAAGTACTCAAGGTGATCCAAGATATATCACTATGCTTAAACATACAACGCGCATACTGCACATTGGGTTTTTTTGCCTCTGTAATATAATATGTTTCACTTTAGGGGCTCTTAATATGGGGTCTGAAAGGTTAAGAGGTTGAGATCTGGGATCAATATATTGATATATATATACAACCAATGATCTTCGAACAAGTACATATTGTGAAAACAGTGATGTATCTACACCTGCAACTGTGGGTCACATGGTTATGTCGCAAATACAACGAATGAGGGTAGGCCATTGGTGGCTATTTCAGCTGGTTGAAGAAATGGTCAACCAATAAATCCTGTGTGCAGGAAAGGATGGAAGAATAGCTTCTTAGCTGCAGCCATTCAAAATAGCAACAGAAAAATGTGTGTGGAAGATATCGACACCGCTGCACACGTTGTAAGTCAACTTTTAGAACTCTGCTGCTACTCAACCAACCACAACCACAATTTCCTTGTCAACTGAAAATGATGTTGGCCGCAGCCATGTCATTTCCTAATAACTGGTGAGAGCCAAACATTCCCTGCCAGAAATGGACTAACATGAACACAATGTCAGACTAACTACATTCCTGTTACTTTGTTGTGACATTAAATTTGTATGTGGCCTCAGAGTGCTCTCAAGAACCAAAACGTGTCGTTTGGTTGTCCGGATGCAAACAAAATAAGCATAACACATCCACTCTAGTTCAGTGAAAGTCATGGCAGCCGTAGTGTTTCCAATAAAATTATTGTATTTAACATGAAACAGTACATGCAATTTATAATATTTTGGGTGATTTGGCAAAGAATTAGGATAATTTTTAGTATCAGTTGACCTGCAGATTGTTTTCTCAATTAATATAATTTAGTATATGATATTTAATAAGTAATGAAAAACGCCACACAACCTCCCAGAGCCCAAAGTAACTTTGAAATTGCATTATTTGTCTAACCAACATTACAAAAGACTTAAAATAAGGAAAGTTGAATCTCACTTAATAGCCCCTTTTCTCTTCCTGGTTTTAGCTGTTCAGTGACACCACCTCCCTGTACACGCTGACCACAGACCCAAACCAGCCCGAGTCTCAACCAAAAAAAAACCAAAACAACCCACCAAACAGCCCCTGGACCCCCACTGCCGACCCCAAGGACATGAACCCTGACCCACAACCAGGACGCCCCATCGACCCCCATCCAGAACTATTCTGCAGTGACCACAAGTCCAGCTTCCTGTTTGGAGCAGATCGCAGCTTCTGTGAACCAGACTCGATGGTGCAGGATGGCAACACGGATTTCAGAATCAACCTGAGTTTTTCCTCTGGCAGCCCAGATGTTCACCTCCAGAGGAGCTGGACCAGCAGTGATCCATGGAAAGAGGAGGATAGAGGCAGAGGGGGGTTTTCTGACTGGAGAGGCAGAGCTGGAGCATCGGGGGGAGTTGTTGAAAGAGTGAACCATGAGTGGACACAGAGGGCTCCAACAAAGCTGGACAGTCCTTTCAAGCTGGACTCTGCGTTCAGTTACAGCCCCGTCCTGCAGCAGCCAGCCAACAGTCAAACGTCCACGTACTCTGCAGCTCGCTGTGACCCCCAGCGTCCACATCACAACCACATTCCCTACAGCCTGAGCCCTCCTACAGGGGTCATGCTGTGGGGTCTAGGTCAAAGCAGCAACGACTGCTTCACCAGCACCGAAGAGACGGCGACAGTTTCACCTAACTATGGGTCCAAATGCTGGATCGGACAAGAGAGGAAGAGGAGCAGCGAGGCTGCAGGTTTGGTTGGAACAGGTGAATAATAGTGGCTTCTGGTGTGGTTTCCATCCTTCCTCAAATTAATACATTAAATAAAACACATCAATTTCATATTTCCATCGTGCCACCAGCTGTTTATCTTAATGTACCCAACTCCTAATGTTCACATAGAAGTACTGGGTGGAAAACTCCATTCATTTGCGATTTCCTTTTGCCAATTGCCAAGAAAATTGGTCAGAATTTGCTCTACATTTGGATGGAAACCTGGCTTATGTTTCTGACTCTTTTTGAAGCTTCCTTTAGCAGATTAAGATATTTCCTTGTGTTTGTGTTGCAGTGTTGACACCACTGAAGAAAGGAAGGTTAAGCTATGAGAAAGTGCCCGGCAGAAGCGATGGACAGACGAGGCTTAAATTATTTTAGGCATTTCCTGTGAGCTGTTTTTAAAGAGTAGAGAGAGGTCTATCCCTAACGCGTTGTTACATTCAAGTTATTAATTGTATAATTCAAGTTTAGCTTCAGAGTTTTTTATTCAGATGAAATAACTTGTTAAGTTTTCCTGGTTTGACTGCAAAAAGGTTTCCATTGCAAGTTAAGTTTCCTGTTTTGGAAACAAAAATTCTACATTTTGTATGTTTATTCTATATTTAACAAGCAACAGTGCTTTTGTCTATTTCTTTTTAAACAACTTAAATTGCAGCAGAGAGAGAGAGAACTAATTAATTCTAATTCAGTCTAATATAAAATACTGATATTTTAGTATTTTAATAGTATTTTGTTATTGTTATAGTATTTCTTATTGCTTGTTTTAAGACAAATTTATTCAATCAAAACATAAAATGTAAATTATTTTACATATTATTTTAGAGTCCTGCACTATGTAACTCCTGTTAAGCATTCAAAACTGGATGCTGGTGTATAAACAGATAATGAATGGCAATATGATACAGTTGTAAATAAGTTGTAATTGTTGACAATGCTAATTAATAAACACATATAAATTCACATATATGTTTACATACTGCTTCTAAGTAATGTTACCAATTTATTCTTACAAAATAAGACTATCATATAATATCAAGATTACAACTGTGTGCAGGTTTTGCTTTTGTCCCCCCGCCCCCCCATTCTGAGCATGCCCAGTAGTGAAAAACAAAGTGTGATTTATGGTTGAAGGAGTGGGATCGGGGGTCTTTCCCAACTAAACTGATAAAGCTTCTCATTTTAGCAGCTCCAATGGTGGGGCTATTTTTTTTCTTTTTTCATTTAGTGAAGCAATCCCCTTATCATCGTCTCTCAGCATGTGGAGAGAGTGCTTATCTTCACGAGCCAGCAGAGTGAAGCCAGCTCCCTCAGGAATGATCCCCAGACAAAGACGACCCCCGGGGACATCGACTCCAAGCCTCCCTGCCTCTGGACAGCCGTATCCAGCACTGGCTAGCCACCATCAATAACCCGCCAGGTTTTTTTTGTTTTTTTTAACATCTCTCTCTTTCTCTCTTTCTGTCTGTCTGTCTCTCAGGCCTCTTCCTTCTAACAGGCAGTGGACAAACAAAAGAGACACACTAAATGGTTTGTTTTTTTAATGGCACAGGAACAAAAGCTGTGGTGGCAGGATGGTCAAAGGATTCCCCATATGAAGGCTAGGTAAATAGCAGCGTAATGGTGCAGTAATTGCCCCTGACTATACTTTAGCCCTGGATTGAATGGGGCAGGAGAGATATTGTGGGAATTAACAGGCTGTTTAAAGCCATCCTTTAGATTTGGATCCTACTCTGACTGCAGCTGTAAAGGTCACACAGCTGTTATCTTTTATCACAGGCAGCAGTTAACAGTCACCTGTGTGTTTCCTCTCCGCTGCTAATAAATCCCAGAACTCCTGCAGAAGGGGGGTTTCCGGTGACTTAAGGTGCTCGTTTGTTTGCTTAAACTGCTGATTAAAAAACATTACGCATCCCTGAAGGAGTATTTTGACACAATAACCATCGCTGCAAGATGTTAATAAGATGAGGTAATGAGGAATAAGGCACTGTGCATAGTCATCAGAGGCAGTATTCAACTCCCTCCATCAAATCCTACAAGGCAGCAATTAATAGTCAGTATTAACCCAATAAGTAGTAATATCTGTTTTTATGTAGCTTCCCGATAAACAAAGTATGGACAGGCCTGTGCCGAATTTTGGATCTGTTACAGAGTATTATTAGGACAGTTCATTATTATTTATTTTTATTATTAAAATTATTTTTTAATTACAATATCAAGTCAGGTATTACTGTGTGTTAATCTGCTAGTAAATCGTATGTATTTAAAAAGGTTCCAACTTTTAATTAATGGAGCTAATTAATAGAGATAATTGGGCAGTTGATAATTATTTGTGAACCAATGATTGGTCTAAGAACATCTTGCACAAGTCTAGATCCAATGTGCTGCTGGTGCAGTAACCTGAACAGTAAATACAGGAGTAAGCTGGCAAGGGCCACCAGTGAGGCCAGTAAAGAAATCAGAAGTTTACTGGCTTATTAAAGGTGTTTTTCATTATTTTTATTTTCTCGATTAATCGTTTTGGCTATAAACTGAAAAACACCAGTGATAATTTCCCACAGCTCAGGAAGATTTGTTCAGATGGTTTATTTTAAGTTGAGCAAAACTCCAAAACCCAAAGATATTCAAAATTAGATAAACACTTTTTATGGGAAACGCCATCAAATCAACAAACAAACTGAAAGATTTTTGTCATTATGTTAAGTTATATATTAACTTAATTATGGATTAATCTTTTGTTTACTAATCAGTTTATAGGTTAAAAGTTAAAGCAAGCCTTCACAGCTGATGAACTGGAAGCAGCTATTATTTGGCATTTATGCTTGAAAAATGACCCCAAAAAATAACTTGTTTATCAAAATAATTGCAGTCAATTTTCTGTCAATTGACTAATTGATTATTCGACTACTTGTTGTAGTGCTAATCTAAAGCTGCAGCACCAACTCTGTGTGCAGGAATTTTCAACACATATAAACATGTATGAACTAATAAAACACGCAGTGTGTAAATGCAATAATAAACACCGCAAAGTCTGCAGTTTGTTATTTAAGCTCTTTGCTGCCAGACTGGACCTCATGAAACTAACACTGTGTGCTTACATATCAAAATGTTACACTTAATTCAACGCAATTAATTCCACAAGTGGCTTCAAACTGTAGCTTGTCGTGCTTATTTTGCCTTCAGCCTGACAAATAAATAACAACAAATCAAGTATAATCTTCACCTGGCCTGGTCGGTGTGATGAACTGGCCAAAATGTCCTTCACTGAGTGTGTCTGCAGACCTTCAAGCATGCAGTGGAGGCTGGATGGAGCCAGAGAGCGGTGGCGCCTGGCCTGCAGGTGCAGGCTCTTGGACGTGCAGCAGGGCCCATGAATGGCCGATTCAGAAAACGGCCCCCATCGGGCCTGTTCTCCAGGCCCCAGGCTAATCCCAGCCCCTAATCGGATTATGTAAATTCCTACTCCACACAGAGACTTTTATGGAAGGCTGCGTCTTTGAAACAACACTTGAAGGGTGTAAAAAGAACAGTGACAATTGGTTAAACTAGACTTGTTTTTTTTTATCTGAACGAAGGTTGAAAGTGGGAGGCAGAAAGAGGGGGGAGAGAGGAGTGGGGAGTGGTTGGAGAGAGGTGAGTCAAGACGCTGTACTCTCCCTGTTTCCTCTTTAATTTATGTGTGGCCCCTTGGAATGGCTCAACAAGATTACCATAGTCATAACAAAACCCATATTGTTCGACTGTCAATCTGGATATGGTATTTTTACCTTTTGTGGCCCAATCAGGCTGAATTCAATGGCAGAGCAGGCAGTGATATCAAGGTCTTTTCCACAGTGGAGGGGAAGGTGGGTTGTCCATGCCTAATGTCAGAGAAACAGAAAGGAACAAGTGTCCACAGCAGTAAGAGAAGGATCAGAGAGATGAACGTCTCAGTTTCACTTCAATGGGAATTTATTTGTCACCTTTAGTGCGAACCTTCAAGGATTAAATAAGCAATGAATCATAAAAGCAGCACAAATAGTCACTTAAAAGGCTGTTGAGAGCTGCCACAAAAAAAAAGCACCCAGAATCCCTTCAAATGTTGCACAGAAACACCTATGAAAATCATTTAAAGTGATGATTTATGGACAATATCATCATAAAGCCACCTGCATTGGTTCTAAATGATAGAAGAGAGGGGGAGCGGGGGGGAGGAGGGGAGTATTAAGACCAACCTCACACAATGCCACGGGCTGTACGACAGCACACGTCACACAATAGGGTTCAACCTGCTATAAAATGTGGGATGCGAGCATGCAGCAGTCTTACCCCTACTCTCTCTCTCTCTCTGTTCCCCATCCCTCCCTCCCTTATACTCTCTCTCTCTTTCACTCTCTCCTTCCCTCTCGCTCAAAAGGATCTCTCTCAGCGAACATGAGAAGACATAACTGAGTGGACATTCACCCCGGACGCCTGGACAACTGATGATCTGCAGAGGACCACTCTGAGATTTTTTTTGCACATTTCTACACACATACAGGTGAGAAATGCGTTGTATGCTGAAGGATTGTGTTCCCCTTGAGGCCACATGTTTCCGCTTATGTCAAGTAAATAATTAATCAGCGAGAGAATGTAATGCAAGAGGATACTGTGTACTCTTTTCGTGCAGCTATAGTGTAAGGGTACATAAATTATGTGCATTTATATAAGAGTTTGAATGAAGTGGAAGATCAAATTATCTGTTTAGAATTATAATTTTAGAGTTTTTTTGTTGTTACAAAGCCTTTATTTAACCAGAAAGTCTCTTAAAAACAAATCTGTTAACACTGTAATGCAGCAAATTAGAATTTAATAGCACAATATAGCCATTTAATAAATGGTCTTTGATGCACCATAATATAGTTAACATGCATTGCAATTTTCAGTATTTGCCAACAGTTATAACCTCTCTTATGAAAACATGTTTTATATCTTCACACCAGAGTTTTACTGTGTTAATTATCTGTTTATACACCAGCCTTCACTCATGGGTATCTACAGGAAGAGCTGTTGACATATGAAATATCTGTTTACAGCTAGATTATAGTGTGTCATAAAACATGTGCAGTAGCACTGCAAATTCATTTAAATTCATTGTTTGGTCCATTTCAAGTTCCCAGTCTTCATGTCTTGTTTTATCCAACCAAGAGATTCGAAAACCTAAATATATATTCAGTTTATCATCACGAATGATAAAAACAAGCATAAAATCTTCAAAGTTAAAAAGAAAAAAAATGTAATTATCTAAATTTGCTGATGAACTTTCTGTCAATAAACTAATCATTTAATCAACTAATGGTTGCAGCTCTACTCAGCACCATGACCAGGAAGGTGTTCACGAACACGAGGGAGCGCTGGCGCCAGCACAACGTCAACACTGCCTTCGCCGAGCTCCGTAAACTAATCCCCACCCATCCTCCGGAGAAGAAGCTGAGCAAGAACGAGATCCTGCGTCTGGCCATGCGCTACATCAACTTCCTGGTACAGCTGCTGGAGAGCCAGAGCGGTCAGCCGGCCAGCCACTCCCCCACCGCGCTGCTCACCTTCCTCAGAGGAAACATGGAGCAACTGCACTCCCCTCCACACCCCTGGGCCATGACCAGTGACACAGAAGTCCCGTCACCTGGATCCAGCTGCGACAGCTCAGAGGCCTGGTAGAACCACAGCCACAAAATACAAAAATAAAAACCTCTTGAGCGGACCCCTTATCCTGGGTTTAAAAACTGATTTTGTCCTTCCTCAAGACTCATTTTTGTCTCTGCATTTGTCACCTGTGTGTGACGCGTGTTCAATGCAGAAGCTGCGATATGCGGCAGAACATGTGGGCACAGCCTCCATGCTGATCAGTGTTGAAATATAATTTGCGGGTGAAATTAAATTTGTATTTTGCATGGATGTGTAAAACCTGGATGTACAATATTCCCATCATGTCTTCATGTTAATATTCCTTGTTGCCGGCCGCCTGGAACTAATTTAGTTTTGCAGTGAGAGGGTGTTTTTGCCGATGAGGAAAATGGAGGGGGATTAAGGAATTTCTCATTTCAAGCGATAGATTCAGGAAAGCATTTGAATAGATAATGGCTCAGCCAATTCTCCAGACTGCAATCGTCTCAAAATAGCCAAGGGCACTTTTTTTATCGACATGCTGTTTCTTTTTTTTCTCGAGAAGACAAAATCTGACCTTTACTTTTATTTATCAAGGTTATGTGACTTCAGAAGAATTTGTTTTGAGAAAGACTTTTCCTGTTTCTCGCCTCTTTTTAAACAACAATGTTCAGTATTTGTTGATTTCTGACTATTGAGGATTGGGCTGAGGAATTTTGGTAAAACTGACAATCCTCTTTCAGTAATTACACGCTTCACCACACAAACATCTTATTTGAATGTGTTTTCATTTGAGTTTCTGTAAAACATGCATGTCATATAGCCAAAGAATATGAATTGATTGTCTGCTGTTAAGAGTGTGCTAATTATCTTCTGATACCTCTTTTGTAACTTATTTTGGTTTGCTTGTGAATATACAGTATGGTATTTATTTGAACTATTTATTTAATAAATGATTTGTTAATAAAAACCCTATCTGAATCTTTTTTTTACGAAAATCATTTGTCGCTCTGCATTTTAGAGCGACAAATAACGACACTGAATTTATGAGTTTACTATTTACAGCAGAAATGAAGGGGTTGCTTACAGCTAGAAAAAAAATAAGACAAATTGTGATAAAACAGCTCCAGGAAAGCAGAAAAAAATCAAATAACTTGGCATTTCAGTCGCAGTTTGACTGATACGCATCAACACATATTGTATTATTTCCTGTTAGCATAAAACGGTTTAGTATGCTGATTTTTTTGTATACTAACTTCAAAAACAGTATGCTAGGATTATTTGCATGTGGTATTGGGCCACACTGTTAAGACTCCCATGAAATGATTTCACACAGCGTAAGACACAACTGATCTGAAGTTAAGAGTAGAGCTGCTGCCTCTTTGTCCGTGCTCAAGAAGCCCAGAAACATTTGTCTGCAGGTCCTGTGATGACCGTGTGGACACAAAGCTGACCTCTGCTCTCTGTCCACTGACCAGAGGCCTGAGAAAGAAGCGCTGAAAGTGACAGCTTAACTTGCGACCCTGGGGTCGGATGTCATTCTGGAGTCAAAACACTGTCCAGTTGACCAACGTGTAGATGTGGTTTTCTCAAGGAAAGCGTCACTTTGTTTCTGCACACGGTAACTACTGAGTATAAAGGCAGGAACTACATGAAACAGGCCAACAGAAATGACACAACCCACCAATTCATTCCTGTTTTCATTATTGAATATTCAATCTTTTTTTTTTCAATTAACTGATGAATTGTTTAGTCTATTAAATGTCAAAAAATAGTGTCAAATGCACATTTTAATCCCCCAGAATTCAAAGTGATGTGTTCAAATGACTTGCTTTGTAGGACTAACCGTCCAAAACAAAGATATCAAGTTTATAATAATAAAAAAGTGAGAAAAATACAGCAAATCCTCACATGGATAAAGTTGCAACCAGTAAATATTTGTTATTTAGGTTTAATAAATTACTTAATAAATGAATAAGCACTTAATCTGTTATCAAAATAGTTGCTGATTTATTTTCTGTCAATAGACAAATTGATCAATGGACTATTTGTTACAGCTCTAGCTCCAATATCAGTCGCTTTGTTTGCGCCAGTCTCCATTTAAAACTGAGGTCAGACATTTACATGCCTAATCGCCTATTGTGACTGTAGAAAATGTGCCCCGTTTTCAGGCAAAGGGTTAGCAACTAACTGAGCTGAAGAGTAAACACTGAGTTGGTTTGAGGCGCATTCACCCCGGTCGTTAAACTCTGCCTAATGGTGTGTAAACGGAGTAGAGGGCAGCTGGACACACTGAGTGGAGGCCTGTGGGAACTGACAGGTGACTCTTTGTAATCATGCAAAAATACTAAATAAATCATATTGTACTGATATTGTACAGCAGCGGTCTCTTCCACAGCGTGAATGTGGGAAGTATTTACCTTTTGTTCAATTTCACAGTGAATTGAGCAATTTCATGGTGAACTGCAATAACACCAAATACAACTACTATGGTTATTATAGACTGGATTAGCTAATAATATGAGAAGTAATATAAAATAAAAAAATAAAAGCTGATCTGTGTATGTTGAATGTTTTGGTGGAATTCAGAATCTCTAATGTTCAATTATTCAATCATCATTTGAAACTGGATAGGAAGGCATGTGACAGTGTTTGCATACATGCTGTCAAGGCTGTGAAATGCATTTTGCTGATACACCTTATTTACAGAAATCGCCCAATCACAGTGTGAGCATTACTCTGACCTCAACTTTTTAGCAGGATTATGAAACCCTGCATTGAAAATAATAACAAATCTGTACGCTTCTCATTCCCTTCACCAAGTATATTTGCCTGATTGACTATTCTCTCCCAAGTATGTGGGTAATCGTCTATTGAGAGCACATTTCCTTATCAGCGTCTAGCACACTGTCTGAATCTGTTATCACAATGGGCCAGATCAGTGCAGGCAGCCCCTCGCTCTCCCGGCTGAGGCGCCCATAAAAAAGAATTTCTGGAGTTGGGTGCCAACCGATAGGCCCTGAGCTCTTTATCCCCTTAAAGCCAATTCACACTCTGCATGTTTAAATATCTCAGCTCAACCCCTGCCCTCCCACTCCCATCATGCACTCGAACACCCCTCCTCCTCCGCTTTTCCTCCTCCCCCGCTCTCTCTCACCCCTCCACGGCTGCAAGTGCGAGCGCTGACTGCCGTCGCGGCCGACCTGCGGCTCGGATGGGTGGGTGGGATGCAGGTGCAGGCTTGGTTGGAGGGTGGGCGAGGAGGGGAGTCATCCATTGTTGGGCTGGACAACACCCTCTCTCCTCTGGAGCACCCTCTGATGGGGGAGCCCACTGACAATCACGCATCCTAATCTGATTATGCAAATATCTACTTCAAAAAGCAATACGCTGTAACCCTTACCCTGTGGTGGAAAGACAGAGCGAGGAAGACGGAAGAAAGGAGAGGAATCAGCAGGAATGTAGAGAGAGGGAAGGGTAGATGGTTGAATACCTGAGAAAATTAAATAGGTCAAAATGCAGTTAGTCAATGATTGTGCAATTTTGTATGTAAAACCCTGATATACCTATTATTAGTTTCTCCCACACACTTTTTACCACCAGGGGAGGTCTGAGAACTTCATAGTATACACTCACACACTATGAATGGCCACTGACTCCCTCAACAGGGCATTGAATTCAATATTCAAATGCTTATTGTTTTTCCAGACGCTCCTGAACCCAGCGTCAAAAGGAATCTACAATGTTAATGAGGGGGCCAAAGTACCCGCAGTTAAGATTTAGACACCCAAACATTTGGATGTGACATTTCCCAAGAACAACACAGCCTCAACGCCACTGGTTCCTAAAGGCTTGGTCGACAACCCCCCGCCTCCCGAATATTCACACCGAGCTGACCTCTCTGGCCCCTGCTGGTTTCTGAAATCAGCTGCCTCATTCTAATGGTAGATGCATCTCTAAAACAAGACTAAGAGTCTATAGCCATGTTAGCAGCTCTGTGAGGCCCTACTTAGGCACTGCGGTACTTTGAGCTAAATGCTAACTTGAGCCTGCTAACATGCTGAAGTACAACTTAAGCTGATAGGAATGTATTTAGTTATTCAGGTGTTTAGTCATAAACCAAAGTACTGGACAAAGTGTTTACCACCTGCAAGGACATGAATGTGTATAGTAAAATTTACAAACAACCTGGCATGTTTCACTGTAATTTCTTGAGTGTATGTTGTGAAAAATCATACAGTATGCAACACTAAAAGTTTGAGATTAAGATCTAAATTGAGATTTTGAGGTAATTCTCAATACTCAAAACACAAATGTCAAACTCGTGGTGGTGCTAGAGAAAATGTCAGGGATCACCAAAGTTTTGAAATGTGCCTTTAAAACGTAATGTCTCCTATCTCACTATCCTATACCCTAAAAGCCTCAAGCAACAATAATACCCCTCTCACAAAAACTAAGACGTCACCTCCTACACTTTAGTGGTATGCATGGAAATTGTTCCACAGGCACAACATGCACACACAACTTCCTCAGATTACGGAAGTGTGTCCAAGCCCATTTAGCTGAAATCATTGTGCTTTTGTATCATTTTACCCCATCTCTCCACAGCTAACAGTACAGTCTGGGTAGCATAAGTCTTTTTTTACTTTCTGTTCGCAGATTTTCTAGTACAGGTTAAGGGATTATTCTTGTTTTTTTTGTACTGACTGTTAACTTTACTCCCACTGCCTTTAACCTAAAAAAAACTTGCTTGGGCTAGGTCCATTACATGCCAGAGTTCAGCTTTGTTTAGTTAATGATTATTTTTCTAGAGGCACCTTTTAAAAAGGATCGGGTTACAGCAGGATTCTCCCTTGACAAA